TTAATCCACTTTTTGTTTTTAAATGCAAAAGACAAAATACTAGGTGCCTTTTCCCACTGGACAGATCTGGCTAGCCTGTGATGTCACAACCTTCAGTCTAACTGCTCATGCAAATGTGATGCTTTATGGAAAGAACAAGATTTGTATCCAGTCTGTGTCACAGGAAGCAGGAGATAACTCAACTGACTTCGCTCACTTGAAAAAACCTCTAGGTCTTGCTTTTGCTGGGGGGAAAAAATGCTGCTAAAGAAAACAGGGAAAATACTAATCTCTATTTGAAAAGGCTAAATCTAAATTAAACTATTAGATAGGATCTAGTGAGTAATTCACCCTCACTAGATGAGGGAGGAGTCAACTGCCCCTCTGCACCAGGTCTACAATATTCTACAAACCCTGGCACAAGGCTGCTTTAAGTTGCACTGACTGGAACAGCATCCTTTAATAGGCACCAGCTTTAAAACCAACCAAAGGAAGTATTTTTTCACACAATGCACAGTCAAGGAACTCCTTGCCAGAGGATGTTGTGAAGGCCAAGACTATAATAAGGTTAAAAAAGAACTAGGTAAGGTCATGGAGGATAGGTCCATCAATGGCTATTAGCCAAGATGGGTAGGGATGGTGTCCCTAGGCTCTGTTTGCCAGAAGCTGGGAATGGGTGATGGGATAGATCACTTGATTGCCTATTCTGTTCATTCCCTCTGGGGCACCTGCCAGTGGCTTCTGTTGGCCGACAGAATCCTGGGCTAGATGGACCTTTGGTCTGACCCAGTATGGCTGTTCTTATGTTCTAGGAACCATTCTGCCAACTAGGGATTGTTGCTTTGGTCCCAGTCCCTGCTCACATCTTTTCTGTGTCCCCAAACACTATCTCCCTGCCTGTAACCAGCCACGATATGCCCGATGCAGGCGGAGTAGGGGGGTGGAGGGAAGAGGAGAAGACAGGGACACAGAGCTGGGTGAGAAAAAGCTATGCCAGGTTTATGTCAGCCAATGTTTCCGATAGGCTAGGAGAATTCTTATCAGCCCCCCCAGTCCCCCCTGAACTGATTTAAGAGCATCATCCCCTTTAGAACAATGCTTTTCTAGCAGTGCAAAAGGACCTTAGCAGCAGCCAGGAATTTAGCCCAATGTTTCTGTTCAGCATCACTAATTAGTGTATCTAAACTGGTCAATCACTCCATTTGAGTGCCGTTGGTTGATGGAGAGTGTTTTAATGCCTCTCCGTTTCTACAATGAGATTTGAAGAACTTTATTTGTGGATTAACCAGGTTAATAAAATATACTGTAATGTGTTTAAGCCAATCTCCTAATTGCAGACTGTGTATATGCCTCATTTGGCAAGATATTACTACTTATTAAGTGAAGGTCTCCAGTTAGTCTCTCAGTCTACTCCTTACTGACAGCAACCAGACATTAAAACTGATTGGGAAGGAGGTACAGCATACTTGTGGTTTGACTTTCATGGACTATACAGGATTTTGATATTCGTTGCATACCAGGGGCTGCAGCTGCCCCCTGCTGTATTGCTACTAGTTATGCTACTGATTTATTAGCACTGGGTCAATGTCTGCATCTATGTTCAAGCAAAACTTCCACAGAATTACCAGAAACAACATGGTAAAGGTGAAAAGTACACCTCTACCCCGATATAACACGACCCGATATAACACGAATTCGGATATAACGCAGTAAAGCAGCGCTCTGGGGGGGAGGGGTCGCGTGCTCCGGCGGATCAGCGGGTCAGGCTCCGACACGCTGCTCTGAGTGGCGTGTTAGGGGTGGGAGGCGGGCAGGAGGCGGGTGGGCAAGCGGGGTGAGGAGGCGAATGGGGAGGTGAGCGGCAGGCAGGAGGGGGCTGAGGAGGCAGGTGAGAGGGAAGATGGCAAGCAGGAGAGCGGTGGTTGGGCGGACGGGGGGAGGCGTGCCAGACAGATGGTGAGGAGACTAGCGGGGAGGCGAGCGGCGGGTGGGTAGGTGCGGTGAGGAGGCAAATGGGGAGGTGAACGGCAGGCAGGAGGGGGCTGAGGAGGCAGGCGAGCGGGAAGATGGCAAGCAGGAGAGCGGTGGTTGGGTGGATGGGGGAAGATGTGCCGGACAGATGGTGAGGAGACTAGCGGGGAGGCGAGCAGCGGGCAGGTAGGTGCGGTGAGGAAGTGAGCGGCGGGCGGGAGCGCTAGGCGGACGGTGAGGAGACTAGCAGGGAGGCTGATTTGTCCCGGGCCCCGCACCCCTCTAGGGATGGCTCCGACACGCTGCTCTGAGCGGCGTGTTAAGGGTGCCGGGCCGGGGCCGAGGGGTTGGTTAAGGGGCAGAAGGTCTCAGGGGGACGGTCAGGGTACAAGGAGCCTTCCCTACCCGATATAAAACGCGGTTTCACCTATAACGTGGTAAGATTTTTGGCTCCAGAGGACCGCGTTATATCGGGGTAAAGGTGTATTCAAAAGATAGAGGAAAAGATACACAAAATCCCAACTTGAGTACATGTGCTTAATGCTCTCATATATTCAAAAAGGTCCCTCAAATGGCTCTATATTTTTGCAAGGCTTTATGACTACTTAAGGCTTAGGCTCAATGAAAAACTCTAACAGTACTTTGTCACACATTGAGCTCTAGAAAATGAAACATGGTTTGGTCGCCCCAGCTCAACTTCCTCTTTGATTCCTGTTTCAGTTGAATGTTATTTCCTATTTTCAATAATAAACATGCAGCCAAAGTCACCATGAGAGAAACCAACCTCAGGAACAAAATTTGCATGGCCTTAGTGCTCTCCATTCTCCACAGCCAGACTCCAACAGAGCAAAAGCCAGGACTTCAACTTGCCCAGGTGAGGTCTGGATGGACAGTTGAGGCCTGGCTGTGTTGAGCTTCTTAGCCACCATTTTCAAAGGAATTCATTCATTTATGGCACAGTCTAGCTCAAGCTACTCTGAGGTTCCTTCAGAAAGGCAGGTTTCTTCTGAAGGATGCTGCATTTTCAAGCCAAGATGATCTGAGCTCAAACTTCCCTTATGCACAGTCATCGCAGTAAAGGCAGCCTGTTTTGAACAATACAGAAGAAAGGTAGCTCATTCTTACAAACTAGTCAGCCTCCAGCAGCCTCCCCTATATTACTTTGGTCACAGTGCCACTGAGCAAATTCAGCAGTTGTACACGGTTTGTGTGTATCCCTTATACAGTAACAGCAAGGAAGCTATCCAAGGGCTATTTTTGTTTTTTAATTTATAAAGTTCCAGATCTCACAGTTTTCTCCTGTTAGCATTTCTCAATCCAACACTTCCTTTATCAGCGCATATTTAAATGAGAGGGCCCTTCTCCCTGCTCAAGTGCGGCCATATTCTCTTCTCACTAATTATCCAGGTGGGTCTCCAAAAGGATCATGCACATATTAGAAGGGAGGGAGACAAAGAGTCTGACTAATTGAATAAAGAAAAGATTTCATTTTAACTGAAGCATTGACAAGTGCCTGGGGTGTCTAAGCGTCTTCTGGCTCCCTTATGCGATGGCAGCCATCTTGGCCAACGCACCAGGGATTGAATCAGAGACCTCCAGTGCTAAAAGCTTGAGCCGCGCTTCAATTAGAGCTGTAACAGACTCAACCTCTGCAGATCGGGGAAGACATATAACACCCCCTCAACAGTGGGTTACAACTCACTGCATTCATCTCTATGGCTGTAATGTCGACACTATGAACTAGGGGTGCGGGTCCCTTGCTTGAGTGCACATATTCATGCTAGCTCTTATCAAGCTAACATGAGTATAAACAGAAGTGTAGCTGTCGTGGCACAGACAATGGCAGTGGAGACATGGCTGACCCAGTTCAGGTGGGTTTGTACTCAGTATGGCTCAGTTGTGCCTCTGCTGCTGCTACCCATGCTACTGTGGCTACATTGCTATTTATACCAGCTCATAATGTGGATGTAGTCTAAAGGGCAGACATTTTGTTACTCATAGGAACTGTATGACCAGGCCCTCATGTACACTTCTAACCAGTGGTGTGTTTTCGGAATTCTTTGCCCTCTTTCTTTCACCAACTAACTTTGCAAAGTAAAAATCAAGCACATTTTCGGGTAACATTAAATATTAAGCGATACTGAAGCTAAAGATGAACCCAAGCCATGTACTTCAGATCAAGACCTGAACCCTAATCTGAACCAGTTCTTTCTTTACACGGAATCTATTTTCCTAAATGGATCCATGGAGTCAGGAATCAATTTTGCCTCTCATATCTAAACAGTAGTGTGTCCTGCCCTGGAGAGGGTCCTCTGAATTTTTGGCAGAGTTCCATCACCAAGTATCTCTACAATTATATGGAGAGCTCCGTGCCAAAGTATAAGGATCACAACTCTAAGGGCTACCATCATTGCCAATGAGAGACTAAGAACACTTCTAGCAGCAAGGGGATGCGTCTCTAACAAGAGTCACCCAGATCTGGTTGAGGAGCATGCTGAGGACATACTCCCCTTCATATAGTCGTGACTCAGGAGAAGGGATAGTTTGGGTGGAAATCCTGGCTTCTGTTTGTGCCTTCTCGTACCTAAATTATTTAACTTCCTCTCAAGAATATTCCTCCCTTTCATGTTCTCAATATCATGCCTATCACCTTATCTCAATCTCCTCTCTTCCAAAAAATAGAAACCTAGTGTTCCTACCGCTCTTCACAGCTGTCAACTAGAGAACATTTATTATCCCCATATGCGTCTCCTTCAGTACTTTTTCTAATCCTCACCCCAGCTACCAAGGATGCTCCAGACATAGACTCACCACCCACTTTGTGCAGTACCATACAAAAAAATCATCTCACTGACATCTTCACAGAAACCAGGGCAATCAGTTCTCACCTACACATTTTTTCCCCCCGGGGAGCTGGAATTTTTCCAAAGCACTTAGCAACAGGCTAACTCTGCAGTCAATGGCAAAAATCCCACAGAACAAATTCTTTGTATACCCTGCAGTCTGGTGGGTAAACCCAGCTATTAAGCAATAGATTATATATTACTTACCTCTAGGACCTTCCCGGTGATGAACTGGTGACATGCTTCACATTTGACCCCAAAGAGAACCTGGTAGTCCTTTTCACAATAAGGGGCACCATCCCTGAAATAAAATATCCAGACGATACAAGTTACAACGCGGCTTGTATTCTTCCCTTGTCCCTAGTGGAAATGCCCATTGACAGCAAGAGGTGAATGGGGCAGAAACCAAAGTAGCTATTTTGCAGCTCAAATGAAAAGGCATTTCAGTTAGCACCATTTGGATCAACATTTAAATTGCCACAGAGAATAAAGAAGAGACGTTCAAGCACAAATCCTCTGCTGGTGTCAATGGGTGTAAAATCAACTGAGCTATGCCCCTTTACAGAAGATGACGATCCAACCCTTTGTCAATAATCTATCATACGCATGTATGAGCCTGCTGCACCTCTATCCATTTCAGTAAATAAATCCTTGGTAATCTTAATAGCGTATAAATACAGACACATCTGAGCATCAGTAGCATCATGACTGAGGAATGAATTAGAAACACCTTAGCCAGTTTAAAGAATTTATATGGTATCAGGCACCATCTTACAAGTTCCTTTGTTTAATTAGTCATAGATGCCAGCCTGTTTATATTTGTGCCCACTAAAACGAGCGATGAAAGGTTTGCATCAGTCACAAACGTAGTGTCCCTATATTTTTTCTCCCCCGCTAGATATTTGAAAGGGGTCTGGCTAGACTCCCTCCATCTTGCGGCTAAAGCACTCTCTCTTGGATTTTTCTCCCTTGCTTTGGTATGCTCCTAACTTTCTTCTTCATTAGTTCCTAATCTGGGGAAGGTAAACACAGTGTCAGGTCAATCACATCAATGTGTCTGGTCTCTGTTCTAGCAAAGTGAGAGATGTGCAGTTTCTTCCTTTCTTCTCAAGTTCACAACTTGAAAATAACTGGACAAAATGGTGAAAAAGCTGTGCCTTGGAAACACAACGGGGGTGTTCACACACCCCTCTCTTTGACCAGAAAGAGACATGCAACCCTCCTGCTCATAGTATTTATTTTACCAACTACTGTTAAATCACTGTTTTTCGTTACTTGCTCCAGCCAGCTTACAGGGAAAAATTCCCCTCGGGTCCCAATTCCAATATTCTGCTCCTACTATGAGTGAGGATTTCAGTGCACATGGTGATGGGCAACAGGGCACAGAATTTTTTTTTATTGAGGGGTCGAGAATTTAAAAAAATAATAGCTGTTCAACAACTAAATTTGTCCACGTTTAATAAAGTGAGAAAAGCGCCACGTGTTCCAAACTCGTTGTCTCCTTTATTTATTATTGAGATTCTTAAAATTTTGGGGGTGGGGTCTATAGCTCGCCCCCCACCCCACGTCCTCCATTGTCTACCCCATGAATGATCACCATGTGTCGACAGAGCAGGTTTTTGGAAGTGTGATATGCCCAGCAGATTAGAAAAGGAGAATTTGTCTGCATTGTACTTTTGGAAAGTAAGGATGGATTTCATGCCAGGCAACAGAAAAGACATAGGAGGCTGCTTACTTGCTGATGTATTCCCCAGTCAGGACCTTGCCACATGCCTTGCACTTAAAGCATCCCAGGTGCCACTGCTTATCCAGTGCTAGTAGCGCTTGGCCATTTTTTATATCTCTTCCACAGCCAGCACAATCTGCAAATAAATATGTACATTCATTGTCAGTGAGTTGCTTTATTAATCTTCATTAACCTACCTAATGAACACCACTCCTAGGTTAGCCAGAAGGGGTCATTACAAGCAATGCGAGACACCTACATTCCCATAGGGGTCAGCATGCCCCTCCTCCCCCAAGGTCCCAGCCCGGGAACAAGGAACCACAGATGCATTCTGCTCCATAACAAGCATATCTAAGAATAGTACAGAAGGCACTGTCACACCTTTGATGACGATTTGCAGCCAGCCCAGTCAGCCTGCAGATTTTATTACAAATTAGCAAAATATGCTTTCACTCACAAGAATGTCTTCAAGAGGAGCCACCGTTTATTTGTTTTTTTTGCCATCAGCAAAGTCTCTGTTGCTTAAAGAAATCTATATATAGTAGGCATGGACTGGCTGCTTCTAATCTAAAATTAAACACTCCTCAGTAGTCGTCCTTCTCAGGCATTACTTTCCCCCCTCCAGATGGCAGCAAAGCACTAAACGTTAAATGGGTTCTTGGTAGGCAGCAAAACTTTCAAAGATTCAGGAGTGGTAAAAGACAAAAATTTTACAGCTAGATAACATAACAAAGGCTTTGGCAATAATTGCAGTATAATAGGGCGTATCCTCCTCTGTACATAAGGAAAGGAACAACTCCCATAGGCATTCCTTATGCACAAAAAAGGACATTTACATGAGAACTTCGGTTCTATGTTTGGAGTCAACACTGAGCACTGATATAGTGAGATCCTTTGATGGCAGGAATCAAGCAAAGAGAGCCCCAGGCAATGGCACTGAATGCCCTCTATCTAGGAGATGCCATGGTGTTTCGTATCATGTTGTAGATCTCTGGCTCAGGGTTGCCATTCCATTCAAATCCAAAACAGTCAAAGCTTTCCCTATAAGGGGCACCCCAGTGGGCATTGAGATTTGAATAAAATGATATGCTGGGGCCCAGTGAAGAGTTGCAGACTTCCCCCCAGGCGCAATTTTGGTGGAGGAAGGGCTGGAAGGCTCATAAAAGTAAGAATGAGAGAGAAACCTGATGGACACAGGGAAAGCTGCAGGGAAGGAAAGAGGCTGGAAATTGTATTGGAGGGTGCTGGGTTCTAACTTGATACCTTAACACCCTGAGCTGAATATCACATCCTCACAATGACATCGAGCAGTTGAACATGAGTGTCATTAACAGAATAATGAAAACAGTTCAGCCCAATCACTGAAGCTGAAGGAATATCTACCCAATCCATTAAACTCTTGATCTCTAGGCATCTCAAAAAGGTCATTGATCTTCAGTGTGCAAGCTCAATAGATAAGAGGATGCCTGAGAAGTCCCAACCAACTCTGACAATGGTAGTTTTACCCCAGTGTAAATCCAGGCCTGCAATGAGGTTACTCCAGGGTTATGCTGGTGAAAGTGAGAGGAGAATCAGGCCCCATGTCACTGAAATGGACTATTAACTTTCTGGATAATAGTCCAAGCAAAGGAAAGCACCAAACAGATGCTGTACACTGTTACCATCCAGAAAGTGAGTGAGAGACATGGGGACGGGGGGAGTTTGGGACCACTGTAAGATGCTTACATGGTAACACATATGTCTGAGCCTCCTGACATTGTGTAGCAAAGACATGCAACATCAAGATGACTTTGCCCCACAGGACAAAGTGTAAGGAGTGGAACCGGGAAAAGACACCATGGGAATGACAAACTGATGGCCAGTAACTGTTCCCTCCAAATCTCTATGCCATTTAACACGCCACCCCATAAACCTGAATCAGTTTTTTTGAGCTTTAATGTACAAATGCCACTCACTTATCACCTCTTATTTTTAACCAGCAGTTCTAGCTTTTTCATCCTTCCGGAGGCTGGATAAGGCAAAACTCTCAGACTGTTCTGTTCCTATCCTAGCACTGCACTAGACTTGCAGTAAGTTTTTATTATTATTATTATCATTATCAGAAGAAGAAGAAAATCCATTCTGCCCAATTAAGCAAAACGCCAAGATGTTCTGACCACAATGAAGACAATATGCATTACAGGTGCTTGGCCGTGCTCAGGATCAGGCCCCTTCAGATTACGGAAACATTTGAAATCTAATGTTGTCAGTATAAAAGAACAAATGCATTTCATACTTATCTGGGACTTTCCCTCTGCAGATCGCAAAGTGCTTTATAAAGGTGAGTGAGCATCATTAGCTCCATTCATCTGATGCCATAGAGCTGTTGAGTAAGGTCACAGTGAGCTAACAGCCTACTAGACTATAGTTGCCCTGTTAACAGAAACGTTTATCTCCTCTGGTGAAACAGCTGGTCGTAAATATAGAAAGCTGGCAATTCTCAGATAGTACTTGAATAGAAAGGAGATAAATACAGACTAGGTTAAGGGCAGGAAACCATTTGTTCACGAAAATTCTACAAACAAGCGTCACTCACTCCTAGTGCCTGTGTAACGTATGGCAACGAATTTGGGTGAAATACAGAACAGCGTGGGGGGTTCACGCAAGGGCTCCGCAGCCACACGGGGGCATGATCGGCCACAGCCTAGGCTATACACTGGTCCCAAATAGGCCAGCATGTAATAGAGCTACAGTGGCATTGAGGCTGCAGGGTCCATGATTATGTGGATTCAGTGGCACCAACACCCAGTAGTGGCTGTGGAAAGGTTACACTGCAGCCCCACAGGGTTGAGGAGTTGCAATTCCATTCCCCTTAACCCCCTCTTAGCACCCCACACAAGTCCAATTACTCAGGCTTTGGGCAGGAGTGATCAGTGTCACCCTCTCTCTGCACAACACAAGCTAAACACATCACTTCATTCTCAGCGTGGCTTGCCAGATGTTTGCATCTTCTGCACAGTGGTATAAAATGCAGGGGTTTCCGAAAGCTCCCATACACTGCACCCCCTAACAAAGGGGTCCTATTCCAACACACCTCGTCTCTTTCATGCGCTCTGACTAGGCCAGCTCAGTCTAAAGATACGCCCCTACATATTTACTCTCCATAATATTTATAGTCCATAACAATGCCGCATCTGAAGTGTCCAGAGAGCTAAAGCAAGTATGAGAAAAAGGGCTGTTGAAACATACCATGAATGTCTGCCTGAATGAGGGCAGTGGGGGGGAGGGATTACATTTTAAAGTGACACATCGTTAAGATCTTCATCCCCCAAGCACCGTGTACAGCCTCATTAGAGAGCCCTATGAAGCTGTACGTTGGGATAGTAATGACAGATGAGCTGCCATCCACGATGCTCCGCTTGTGAAGATCTGGACAGAAAATACATTTGCGTTTGCAGCTTCTGCATCACTCCCCACATCTGACAAAGAGTGAGGCATCCTGCACAGCAACTCATTTGTCACTGTCTAAATTAAGCAGTGGGTTTTTCCTCTTTTCCCCTCCCCTTGACCAATGGCAGCATAGCTTTCCCACAGCTTGCTCACATCACATGCAGCACTCCAGCGTGATGGGCTCTGAGCTGATACTGCTGCATTAATCCTGAGCATGCTGCATACAAACTTCACCCAAGGCTGTTTGGATTGCCTTCCCAGAAATCTGCCAGTGAGTATACCCATATCTCCCGTAGACCTCACAAAGAGGTCACCCAGTTCTGCTCTGGCTTCTGCCACCATACCAACTGGCAGAGGCCTCGTGGGGGGGGAAGCACCCCTGAATGTACAACTCACCTCGCCCCCGGGGAGTCTGCACAAAAGATTATGAGAGTATGACTGCTCAGAGCTCCAGTATGAAACTGCAGAAAAACCTGAGGGTCTCTGGATTAAGTTTAGAAGTGTGAGCAACAAGGGTGATGTCGTGGTGGGAGTCTGATATAGACCACCAGATCAGGGGGGCGAGGCTTTCTTCTGGCAACTAACAGAAGTTACTAGATCACAGGCCCTGGTTCTCATGGGGGACTTCAATCCCCCTGATATCTGCTGGGAGAGCAATACAGCAGTGCACAGACAATCCAGGAAGTTTTTGGAAAGTGTAGGGGACAATTTCCTGGTGCAAGTGCTGCAGGAACCAACAAGGGGGAAGGGATAGCTCAGTGGTTTGAGCATTGGCCTGCTAAACCCAGGGCTAGGAACTCAATCCTTGAGGGGGCCACTTAGGAATCTGGGGCAAAATCAGTACTTGGTCCTGCTAGTGAAGGCAGGGGGCTGGACTCAATGACCTTTCAGGGTCCCTTCCAGTTCTAGGAGATAGGATATCTCCATTAATCTTATTTTAATTTTTTAGGAGCAGAGCTCTTCTTGACCTGATGCTCACAAACAGGAAAGAATTAGTAGGGGAAGCAAAAGTGGATGGGAACCTGGGAGGCAGTGACCATGAGATGGTCGAGTTCAGAATCCTGACACAAGGAAGAAAGGAGAACAGCAGAATATGGACCCTGGACTTCAGAAAAGCAGATTTGACTCCCTCAGGGAACTGATGGGCAGGATCCCCTGGGAGAATAACATGAAGGGGAAAGGAGTCCAGGAGAGCTGGCTGTATTTTAAAGAATCCTTATTGAGGTTGCAGGAACAAACCATCCCGATGTGCAGAAAGAATAGTAAATATGGCAGGCGACCAGCTTGGCTTAACAGTGAAATCATTGCTGATCTTAAAAACAAAAAAGAAGCTTACAAGAAGTGGAAGATTGGACAAATGACCAGGGAGGAGTATAAAAATATTGCTCAGGCATGCTGGAACGAAATCAGGAAGGCCAAATCACACTTGGAGTTGCAGCTAGCAAGGGATGTTAAGAGTAACAAGAAGGGTCAAGGAAAGTGTGGGCCCCTTAGTGAATGAGGGAGGCAACCTAGCGACAGAGGATGTGGAAAAAGCTATTGTACTCAATGCTTTTTCTGCCTCTGTCTTCACGAACAAGGTCAGCTCCCAGGCTACTGCACTGGGCAGCACAGTATGGGGAGGAGGTGACCAGCTCTCTGTGGAGAAAGAAGTGGTTCAGGACTATTTACAAAAGCTGGACGAGCATAAGTCCATGGGGCTGGATG